GGCACTTCACTGCGAGTCGACGACTTGGGCGTGCGCGGTATCATGGCAATGTCGACAACGGTGGACGCGATGATATCGATGTTGGCGACGATGTTGGCAACGACGAAAGCGCGGCCAGTGCGGGCGCCGATGCTGATCACGCCGACGACGATGACGGCGTCTTCGTGTCGGTGATGCGCGCGCGCGGCCGACGCGCGAAATTGGCCCGCATGGCATTCTTTGACACGGATCGTTCCCCCCTTGCACGCGCACCAGGGCGTGCGCATGATGTCGGCATGCGGCGCGGGAGGCCCGTTTGGCAGAATTCCACGAACATGTTGGAGCACCTGCGGTTATCTAACAGATTCGCAAGAGCACGAGCGCACGCTGTTTTGAAAACTGATGTTTCGAACACCATTTTTATATGTTTGTGGGGCGTTGGGATTTGACAACGTTACAAAGCCGACGGTTTTTGACGGATTTCGGCATGCGCGCGGGACGGCGCGTGCGTGCATTTCGTTCCGCTTTTTGCAACAGGGTTCTCGCGACGGCATGTGCGCAACGGCGTTGGATAAATTTCGACGTGCGCGCGCGAAACCCGTTTGGTAGTATTTTCCGAACGTGCTGAAGAACCTACAGTTTTTTTCCTAAGCGTGCGCAAGGACGCGCGCACATTTTTTCTGGTTGGGGTGAAATTCCGTGTTGCGAAACCATGTGGTTTTCTATAGTTGTTTTGGACATTCGGTTTTTAATCCTTACGAGACCAAACGGTTTTTGCAGGATTCCGGCCTGCGCGCGCGACGACGGGCTCGTGTGCACTTCGTCAGCTTGTGCTAAGGTTTTTTGGCAACGGATGACTTCTGATAAGCGAGTGCGCGCGCATAACAGTTTTTGCAAAGGATGGCGGGTGGGGGGCGATACCGGTTGGGCTGGGATGGTACGAGTTCCTATTTCAGATGGACGGTGGGGCAGATTCGTATGGAAATTGCAATAGGGAAAAAGGAACGCATAATCTTGGGAGGGGGTCGAGAATTGATGTATTGCCATTGTGCGAGGCCGCAACAAAATGGCGACGGGGCGGCGACGGCGACAACATGCCGCCGGACCGACATTCAGGCCCAGGTGACGGGCGGCGACGCGGTGGCGACGGGGTTGCGATGGCGACAACGTAGCCACCAGACCGACATTCAGGCCCACGCGACGGGCGGCGACGAGGTGGCGACGGGATTGCGACGGCGACAACACAGCCGCCTGACCGACATTCAGGTCCAACTTATTACAACATGAAGAACCTTTGAGTGCAGGCGTCGTTTTGAGAGTAGGCATTTGGAGGTCCCGCGCGGATTTCTCGGATCGGTGGTGGACCCTCTTTCTGGCGCGTGGAGGTGTTTGTTCCCCCATCCTCGTTCCCTTTTTCCGTTCCCTCGATATGAGCGCCGAGGCCATGATTTGCCGTAGTCTCACGGCACCCACCTACGGTAGGTTTGCGTCGTGTCGACCAGCGGCGACCCCAGCGCGGGCGTTCAAGGTTGAACGCCGCCGGCGACCCGGAATCGATCGATGTTGAACGGTCGGACGTTGCGGCAGCGGCCGATCGTTCAAGGTTGAACGATCCCCGCGGTGTCAAAAACCAACGCTGGGGTCGGCACGACGCGAACCTATCGTATTGAGTTCAACAGGTCCCTTGGCTCCCCTTGGGCCGCGCGCGCGCCTCGGGCCACGATCTGCGAGCCGCTCTCTTGGGCGCCCCCGATTCCCGTCGGAGTTCCGCGAGGATCTCTTGGATCGGCGTGCCGCCGGAGGCGCCGCCAAGGGGGGGCCCAGCGCTGATCCGAGAAGTCCGCGGGGAGATGCGAAAGCATCTGTGTATGCGTCTGTTTGTACTCGAAGGGCGCAGCGGGGCTGCTAAAAAGCGGCCTGAAGCTCATCCCTCGAGTGTGGATTCCTGGAGGGCGAAGTACAGCTGTGCCATGAAAGGGCTGACGTCGGTCACGCTGACAGGGCACAGGCTTGCCTCCAGTAGCCCATGGGGGTAAGGGTCGGAGTCCTAGAGGTTGGCACAACACCAATATCTACGGTTGCCTCTACCGAGGGGAGATGATCCCGACCTCGGTGATGGTGGTCTTACTCGGGCTTCTTAGGCTTAAGTCGGGCATGTCCCTCTACAGAAGGAAAATTCAGAAATAGTAAAAAACAGTCAGGGGACGATTTTCCTATCCTTGTTGGAATATTTTTGGGTACTTTTTGACAGTTTTCATTTTTCTTATCAAATCCGCCTGTAGGATGACATGCCCGACCCAATTTTAGGCTGTCGAAAGATTGCCACTAGCACCAAAATGTAGGATCATACTTTCCCGGCGCAGGCATCCCCTCAGTGCTGGTGCCACTTTCCGAGCCACCAAAAAGAGAGCAGCCGGCCCCTGTAACATTGGGATCAGTGCCAGCAGACACTAGGGCCCTCTCCCTGCGGCCGACATTCTCGGGAGGTGCTCTCGACGGCACGGCGCCGGGCTTCGGGGGAGGTACAGCCTGAGGGCGGTGGACGAGCCCGAGGGCCGCGCCTGGGACCTGGAGATGATGGTGCGGAAGGCTTCCCCGCGGGGGGCGGGGCCGAGGAGGAGGAGGAGGATGAGGAGGAGGAGGAGGAGGAAGAGGAGGGAGAGGAGGAAGAGGAGGAGGGGGGGCGAGGAGGAGGAGGCGGAGGAGGAGGAGGAGGAGGAGGAGGAGGAGGAGGAGGAGGAGGAGGAGGAAGAGCGCCGCGCTGGCGAGGGCGTTCGACGCTCGAGCCTCTGTCGAGTTTCTTTGGCCTCCTTGGGCCTCCGGGCGGGGCTTCTCGGAGCCACGGCTAGGGCCGCTTCGAGATTCTGGTTGCAGGGCCCGCCGCGCCGTCGAGGAGGTTCGACGTTCGCCTCGTTGCCTTTTGGGGCCTCAAGAGGCGCTTCTTTCGAAGAGGAACTTGGTAAGCATAAGCTTCCGGAGATCTGGCCTAATTTCTTGTATTGGCTCCGCGCCCATCGGCAGCCCCCCGCTGCCTGTCGCAGGTCGCGCGGGGGGGGCTACCCATGAGGGCGCTCAAAATCCCGCGCCCGCATTGGCCAAATGCAAGAAGGTGGCCCTCAGCGCTGAGACGGGGTGCAGGGGCGTCGGCGCGTTCGCTCGCTCCCTCTCTCTCTCTATCTCTGTTGTTTTGGTTCTCTTTGTCGCAGTTGCGCATGCATAGCTCGGCGGCGAGCGAGGGGGGAAAGTAAGCAGGAGCAGGCCCTCTCAAAAGGCGGGGGGGCTTCTCAGAAGCCCTCCGGCCTCCCGAGGAGTTGCCCGTGCCTTCGCGGAAGACGCATGCAGGGAATTCTCAGAAGGCTGGAGTAGTTCCGAGACTTCTGAGGAGGCCCGCCCCCTCTCACTTCCCCCCCGCGCTCGCCGCCGAGCGACCGCGGCTCACCGTTTTTACGTGTCATGTTCGTGCGGCGCCGGGGCGACTGCAGAGGCCAAGGGCCGGCAGACGGGGCGCTTGAGGGCGCCACAGGGTGCTCCTCGCAGGCGTGCCGAGGGTGCGGTGCATGCTGGGTTGGGTCTACCCTCCTCGTCCTCTGCCTCCTCCTCCTCCTGCTCCTCCTGCTCCTCATCCCTTCTCCTCCTCCTCCTCCTCCTCCTGCTCCTCCTCCCCGTCCTCCTCATCCTGTCCTCCTCCTCCTCTTCCTCCTTCTCCTCCTCCTCCTCCTCCTCCTCCTCCTCCTCCTCCTCCTCCCCCTCCTCCTCCCCCTCCTTCTGCCCTGCCGTGGCACGATTGCCATGTCACTCCCCCGGCAGCAGCTGCATGACAGCTCTTTCGCGGAATGCCGATCCGATCCGATCCGATCCGATCCTCTTCCTCCTCTTCCTCCTCCTCCTCCGGCTCCTCCTCTCTCCTCCTCCCTCATTTTCTCCTCCTCCTCCCTCCTTTCCTCCTCCTTTCTCTCCCTTTCTTCCTCCTCCTCCTCCTTTCTCCTCCTCCTCCTCCTCCTCCTTTCTCCTCCTCCTCCTCCTCCTCCTCCTCCTCCTCCTCCCCTCCCACATCCTTTATCCTCCTCCTCCTCCTCCTCCTCCTCCTCCTCCTCCTCCTCTCTCTCCTTTTGCCCTGCCGTGTCACGATTGCCATGTCACGCCCGCGGCAGCAGCTGCATGACAGCTCTTTCGCGGAATGCCGATTCGATCCGACCCGATCCTCCTCCTCCTCTTCATCCTCCTCCTCCGTCTCCTCCTTTCTCCTTCTCCTTTCTCCTCCTCCTCCTCTTTCTCCTCCTTTCTCCTCCTCCGCCTACTCCTCCTCCTCCTCCTTTCTCCTCCTTCCTCGCTCCTCATTCACCTCCTTCCTCCTCCTCCTCCTCCTCCTCCTCCTCCTCCTCCTTCCTCCTCCTCCTCCTCCTCTCTTATCCTCCCCCCCCTCCCAGGGGCGATGCGCTGCTCGCTCGCGTGCTCGACGGGGCCGCCGGGCGCGCGGCGGAGCGGCGGCGGCTTCTGCTCGCGGGCGGCCCCGTCGGCCGGGCGGCCCAGGCCCTCGCCTTGCCGCCGAGGGTTCGCGGGGGCGCGTGGTCTGCGCCCGCCTGGCGGGCGGAGCGAGCTGCGGCATCGCTCAAGGTTAGGTCGGGCCTGTCCCCCTGCAGGGGGAATATTCAAGAATAGTCAATACATAGTCTGGGGACTATTGTTTGACCATTTTGGAGCATTGTTCGGATATTTTTTGATATTTTTCATTTTTCGTCCAAAATCGGTCTGTAGGGGGACACGCCCGACTTAAGGTTAGCGGGGGCGCGTGGTCTGCGCCCGCCTTGCGGGCGAAGCGAGCTGCGGCATCACTTAAGCAGTGGCGAAGCTTCCTGGCTCGCCGACAGGCCCACCAAAGACGATTCTAAGAGTAGGATGTTCCAACCTACTTTTGCCTTTATCACCAGAAAGAATTTCGAGCACCAGAAAAGTACGGGAGACTCTCGTCCGACACTATTTCGACACTCTTCGACACCTTGTCGACACTTTCCGGGTGCTCGAAATTATTTCCGGGATGTGGTCCTTAAATACGATGGTAACAACAGAAGTCTAAGAGCCTCTCGTGGTCTGCGCGACATGTTCTTAGAACATGTATGGCTGGGACTGCCTTGGTTTAGCACATCGGGATTCTGTTCTAAGGACCTTGTTTTGTTTTGTTTTGTTAGAACATTTTGTGGGTTCCAGCTAAGAGCATGTCGTGGTAGGCCTACAGAAATGCCGGGGCGGTCGGCCCCTCTCAAGCATCTGCGCCAGGATGGCGGCTGTTTGTGCGGGCTCCTTCTTCGGCCGCTCCACTAGATCCCGGCAGCGCAGGGAAAAGGTGCGAGGCGTGCGGTGCCGTGATTATTTTAGCGCGTGGGCCCCGACATGACCTCTCACCAGATGGAGACCAGCTTCATACCCCCTGGCCGTACTGGGCGTTGCCGAGGGGGTCGGGGGGGGGATGGGGCCCAGTAGCGTGACGATTCGTGCCAGTGTCGTCTGGGAATGCCTAGGAGCACTGCGAGGCCCCCGCGCGGGCCCCTCTGGGGTCGCGGTGCGGTCATGTCCTGGTCGTCGCCGATCCCCCCTCCGCTCGCGCCTTTTGCGGCTTCGCCGCGCCGGAAGCTTCGAGGAGGACCCCCTCCAGCCTTCCTTTTGCATCCGACGAAGGCGTCTATACACCACCACCGTGCCAGGCCAGGGCCATCCTGGGCCCTAGGTTGTTGTATAGACCCTCCTGGCCTAGGCCAGGAGTGCGGGCAATGTCTACATCCACATCCAGTGCGTCTTGGAGTGTTGGGCTCTCTTCCCCAGAGACATGAGGCGTACTAGATATGGACCAAACTCTGGCCTCAAAAGGCCAGACTTCTGTCCACATGCAGTGCGCCTCGGCCCTGCGGCGCCCCTTCCAAGAGAGTCCAAGACGCACTGGACATAGATATAAGTGTTGCCCGCAAGGAGGGCGTACACACCATGCCAGGGCCAGGGTGGCCCTGGCCTGGCACGGTGGTGGTGTGTAGATGCCTTCTGCGTACAGTCGGGGCGCTGAAGAAGGAACCCTTTTCGTTGGGGAGGGGCTCGGCGTTCCTAGATTATTTTGCAGTTTGCCTAAGGTCTTCCTGAGGTTTTCCATGCGAGATCGAAGTTCAACTTCTGGACAAAAAGGCCTCGTTCCTTGTTCAGGGTTCCTTGGGTCAGCGCCCCGACTGCATTCCAGCCATGCTCGCACTGGACACAGATATAAGCACTGGCCGCAGGGAGGGCGTACACACCATGCCAGGGCCGGGGTGGCCCTGGCCCTGGCACCGTGGTGGTCCCTGCCCTTCCAGAGAGCTACTATTTTTTCACACTGGAGACCTAAAAACCTAAAAGACGGAACGAAACATGCTAGAACCGAGACGTAGAATAGCTTTGGGATAGGTTTCTAAGTCGGGTGCTACTTCTTAGCCCATGCGGATGCCTCCTGCGCACTCCGGCCATGCTCGCGCTGCGAAGCAGCTCCCGGCGGGGGCTCTAAGGCTGTTCTCGGCCTCCGGGGCCCCGCGCGCCGGGCCCCCCGGGGCCGCCCGAGAATCGGAGATTGATAGACCTTCTCCTCCTTTTTCCTCCTCCTCCTCCTCCTCCTCCTCCTCCTCCTCCTCCTCCTCCCGTCGATTAGTGAATTGGCCGTTTTGGTTCGCGGGAGGGCGTCGCGGCCGTAATTTTTGTGGGTCCAGGCCCGTCGATTCTGGTCCCAGGCCGTTTTCACTCAAGGGTGGTTTGCGAATGGGAGGTTTGTCCACCGCCGAAAGAAGGACCGGGGATGCAACGCTGGCCCCTGGTGTCAAGCCGGGCGCGTGCCTCTGCAGGAGGAATAGTCAAAAAGAGGACAACATAGTCTGTGGGCCATTTGTCGACTAGTGCTGGCCATGTTTGATAATTCCCCACATGTTTCGTGGGGTTCTGGTTTTCTTCCCTGCCGCGCCGCACCCGCGTCTCACACCTCCCCCCTCCCCTTCTCCTTCTCGCACAGCACAGCACAGCACAGCACGGCACGGCACGGCACAGCACAGCACAGCTCACCGCACAGCAGCACAGCACAGCACAGCACAGCACAGCATACCACACAGGGCATTCCTTCGACGCCACAGGGGGTGGGGGTGCGCAGAGGGTGGTCCCTCAGCGCGGCCTCTATCCGTGACACGCTCGCAGATCGTGGCAGGCGTGGCACTTTCTCGACACCACAGGGGGTGCGCAGAGGGTGGTCTCTCAGCGCTGCCTCTATCCGTGACACGCTCGCAGATCGTGGCAGGAGTGGCATTTTCTCGAAGCCGCAGGGGGTGCGCAGAGGGTGGTCCCTCAGCGCGGCCTCTATCCGTGACAGATCGCAGGAGTGGCGCGAGATCGTGGGCGCGGCCTAGTGAGTGGCAGGAGTGGCTTTCTCGACGCCACCACAGGGGGTGCGCAGAGGGTGGTCGCCCCTCAGCGCGGCCTCTATCCGTGACACGCTCGCAGATCGTGGCAGGAGTGGCACTTTCTCGACACCACAGGGGGTGCGCAGAGGGTGGTCCCTCAGCGCGGCCTCTATCCGTGACACGCTCGCAGATCGTGGCAGGAGTGGCACTTTCTCGACACCACAGGGGTGCGCAGAGGGTGGTCCCTCAGCGCGCCTCTATCCGTGACACGCTCGCAGATCGTGGCAGGAGTTGGTGCGCAGAGGGTGGTCCCTCAGCGCGGCCTCTATCCGTGACACGCTCGCAGATCGTGGCAGGAGTGGCACTTTCTCGACACCACAGGGGGTGCGCAGAGGGTGGTCCCTCAGCGCGGCCTCTATCCGTGACACGCTCGCAGATCGTGGCAGGAGTGGCACTGTCTCGACACCACAGGGGGTGCGCAGAGGGTGGTCCCTCAGCGCGGCCTCTATCCGTGACACGCTCGCAGATCGTGGCAGGAGTGGCACTGTCTCGACACCACAGGGGGTGCGCAGGGGGTGGTGGTCCCTCAGCGCGGCCTGTATCCGTGACACGCTCGCAGATCGTGGCATGAGTGGCACTTGCTCGACACCACAGGGGGTGTGCAGAGGGTGGTCCCTCAGCGCGGCCTCTTTCCGTGACACGCTCGCAGATCTTGGCAGGAGTGGCACTGTCTCGACACCACAGGGGGTGCGCAGAGGGTGGTCCCTCGGCGCGGCCTCTATCCGTGACGCGCTCGCAGATCGTGGCAGGAGTGGCACTTTCTCGACACCACAGGAGGTGCGCAGAGGGTGGTCCCTCAGCGCGGCCGCTATGCACGACGGTCGTCCAGGGCATAGCAGGCGTGGCACTTTCTCGACACCATAGAGGCTGCGCAGGGGGTGGTCCCTCACCGCGGCCGCTATGCACGACGGTCGTCCAGGGCATAGCAGGCGCGGCATTTTCTCGACACCACTGGGGGTGCGCAGGGGGTGGTCCCTCACCGCGGCCGCTGGCTGGCTCGAATCTGTCCTCGACGGAGGATAGAAGGCTAGGAAGAGGGAGGAGGTTCAAGCAATATGGCGTTGGATGACACATAGGGGAACATTCGCGACGAGGGCTGAGAACGCAGAATTGCACATATATTATAAACTTAAGCAAACACTCAATATTTAAGTTAAGTATGTGGGGTTCCTCGGTAGCGTAATTTTTTTGGCTGTTTTTTGAACTTGTAGCCCAAACTCCGCCTGTAGGGTGACATGCCCGACCTAACTCCAGGGGTCCGCGCCGGGCCCCGTGACCGTCCAAGAAGGACCGGGGATGCAACGCGGGCCCCTGGTGCAAGGGGCAGGCCAAGAGGGGGGTGGTGACTCGGGGGGGGGATATCATGGCGGGGGGCATGATGTATCTCCCCAGATTTCAGGGCGCCTCTTCTTCTTTCATTACGTCCCTGGCCCCCCCCCCCCTGCCTAGGCCGCGCACATGCCGCCGGCCATGACTTGCGGCCCCCCTCTTGGACTCCCCCACTTGGCCGCCCCCGAGGACTTCTGGGGGCCGCGTGCTGAAAACATCCAGGTCAGAGTGAAGGGGGCTGAACCGAACGGTCATTCACTGTCCCTGGGTGCGTGGCTGAAGTGGAATTCCGCGATTCGGATTCTTGTTGAATTCTCATTTCTAAAGAAAACTATTGTTAATCCCCCCCCACCGGTGCATACTCTTTTTTCTCAATCAAAGTGTGCCCCTCGACGCTCGCACAATGTTTTTTGACAGGGAAAGTCTTCCTGCTCAAACTGGGCCCCTGGCCCCCAGGTTACAACAACAACGGCTCCCGCCTGAGACTTCCTTACAATTTAGCCAGGAACCCCGCTCCCGCCCGAGACTTCCCCGCATTATATTCAGGAATCGCGCTCTCGCTTGGGACTTCCGTACAATTTATTCAGGAATCGCTCTCCTGGCGCTCTGGAGTCGCGCTCTCGCTGGAGACTTGCGTGCAACTTACTGAAGAATTGCCTTGCGTTGGAATTTCTTGCAATTTGCCCAAGCGCCGCGCTCCCGACACCCAGGCACCCAGGAGTCGCGCCCGTTGTGGCCCCATGTGCATGCCCTTCGTGGCCCCGCTGTCGCCACTTGTGTCCCCCTCACTGTCCTACGTGGCCCAGTTGCTACCCTCAGTGGCCCCATAGTTGCCTTCTGTGGCCCCGCATTATCTGCACTTCGTGGCCCCCGCTCGTTCGCGCTCTTCGTGGCCCCATACGCATTCCCTTCGTGTCCCCGCTGTCGCCCTTCGTGGCCTACTTCGTGCCCTTCGTGGCCCTGCTGTCGTTCTCTCTCGCTCTCGCTTTCGCTCGTCGTCGCCGTCGTCGTCGTCGCCGTCGTCTTCGACGTCGTCGTCGTCGTCGTCGTCGTCGTGGTCGGTCCCCTGTCCGTCCCTCTTGGGGTCGGGTCGACGGTCCGCGGCCGCCCCGCCGATCAGCGCTGCCGCTGGCCAGGCCGACGGTCCGCGGCCGCCCCGCCGCTTGCCGGGGCCCGGCCTGCAGGGAAGAAAGGTATACCCCCCAAAAGGGGTTCGATCGAAGACGAAGAGGGCGGGTATCGAGGGTTTGGGAAATACGCGTTATTGGACACTCAAGGGAGCACGGTTGCACATTAGTTTCTTCTTGCTCCCCCCCCCGCCCCCTTCCTTCTTTTCTCCCTCTTTCCTCGTATCTTTTTTCAACTTCATCGCGCCGGTAGCTTCTCTCGACTCCCTCCCCTTTCTCCTTCGCCCTCTCCCTCTGCGCATCGCAGTGGAAGTTTCCGAAGACTCCCTCTCTCCTCCCCGTCTCTACTCGCCCTGTTCTTTGCATCCTCTAGTTTGCCCTCTGCGATTTGATCACGCTGGAAGCTCTTGGAGACGCTACTTCCTCCTCTTCCCCCCCCCCATGGCTCCCAGAGCGCCGACTGCTATCCCTCGGTGTTCACCCCCATCAGACCTCCTTCGAGCTCCTCCGTCCCTTCCCTTTCCCCCTTTTCCTCCTCCTCCGTTCCCCTCTCCCCCTCGAGACCGGCTTCGAGCAGTGCATCATCTACCCGTCGCCGCTGGAGCAACCGCACTCCTCGGAGGAAGCCGTGCGGCGGTGACCCCTTTGGAGGGAGGACGAGGATGAGGAGGAGGAGGAGGAGGAGGAGGAGGGAGAGGAGGACGAGAGGGGAGAAGGAGAGCAGGGGGGGCACAGGGAGAGGAGAAGGGGAGAAGGGGGAGTATGATGAAGTAGCAGCACGGATGTGATTGAGATGGGGCTGCAATAGGAGTATTAAGAAAGTCTATATATACAACAAGACTCATGTCCCTGTGGTTACCAGCGTGGACCCAATCAGTAGGATATCGAACCAGTGAAGCGCGCTCCATGGGGTGCAATTCGTTGGCTGTATTTTATGTGGTCAAGCTTGCTTGGTGCAATGTAAGGGGTCGCAGTCCGTGTGGTTCAAGCTACGTGGGGCAATCATGTAATTTGTGGGAGTGCAACATATATGGTACAGTGTATAGAATGAAGTATGGGTGGTGCAATGAGTTTTTCTTCAAAGTGTTGCTCATGTGCATCCAGATCGATCGATGTATGTGCATAGACTTAATAGATAAGCACACATGGCGCAACTTATGTGCGTGGCATAATCTATGCCAAGTCGCCCACCATATACTAGTGGCATGTGCGCCCCCAGGGTCACACAACAAAATACAATGGGTGGTAACCGATGGGACTGCCACAGCTTGCGATCTCTGGGAGTGTTACACAGCAGCCCTGAGGGCGTGAATGACCACCAGGATTGAACCCACTTCCATACTTCTATTTGGTACCACATCAACACCAAGCCTTTGATGCCAGGTTTGCTCACAAGTGCTAGGTTCCATTGTGCCTTCCAAGGTTCTGTTGACAATGCCCCAGCAATACGCTGTACACAATTGAATCGACCAATTGCGTTCGCATAGCTGTCGGTAATCTCAATGAAACCAGCTGTTTCTACGATTTTACATGAACAAGTTGAAGGTCTACTGTGGTTTTCGTACCTCGGTGTCGCGATCTGCGTGAAGGGTGCGTCTGGTTGTCCAACTGTGGAGGGCGTCCCGAGCGAGACGGCAAGACGCAGACGAACACGCGACAAATAGTCGCCTCAGAGTTCCATTCCTTCGAAGCGGTGCGGACGTGTACATGTATACGTATATGTGTATGCATAAATACATGAACCTGTATATGTGCTTATATATGCATGTAATTGCATATGCAACTTACGTACGTGTCTGTTTATATGTATACATATACATATATATATATATATGTACATGTTGGTGTGTAAGTATATGTGTATATATGTACATGTATTTGCATGAACCGATGTATATGCATACTTATATTTATGTGTACTGGTATGTATAAATGTCTATGTATATTCATATGTGCATGCATGTCTAACTGTATGTGTAGTTGTTGTATGTATTTGTGCATGATCATGTGTATGTATGGGTAACGGTGTGTATCTTTTCTGTTTTTGCAGGTTATTTATATCATACGCATCTGTATATGTATATATGCAGAACGTACTTTTCATATATCGGTATTTGTACATGTGCATGCTCAGGTATACGTATGTGTTTATGTGTGACTGTATCTGTATGTCTATATATACAGCTGTATTTGTTTATGCGCGTGCATCTGTATACTTACATGCATTGGCATGTCTATGTATATTTGGGCACACGTATATTATATGAATAGGTGTCTAGTTATTGGTATGTGTAAATCTGTATGCGTATGTGTACGTATATGCATGAGAAGATGGATGCGTGTTTGTTTATGTTTATGTCGATGTAATTGTATATGTTTATGTATATGTAGAAACAAATGCATGTGTACATGTTTACGTACACGTATACGTACATGCCTACGTGCATGCCAATGTCAATGTCCATGTCTATGTATGTGTTCTGCGTGTTGTATAGATGTACATATGCAGATCTATGTATGTATATATGCAACACCTGTAATACACATACATGTGTATGTATGTGTATGTGTGGATAACACTATCAGCGTTACACATGTTCGTCATAAAGTGAGCTATCATCATCTTGCGTTGACACGGCAATCTTTCGCCCGGTTGGATTTTTAGAACCGTGTGTTTTTTAACGTCGGGTTTTAACGTACCTGTTTTAGAATTATTAATTCCACAACTGGAGGAACACCCAGATCCATAAATCCCAGATTTTTGATCAGACCGCTAGGATTCTAGGGTGGAAAGGCGGGCAGTTTGGCGCGGTTGGGACAGGGGTCAGTTTTCGCCCGCCCGCTCGTGCGAAAGTAACGGACGAAACATGCATCATCTTGACGCTCCCATAAATCATGACGAACTTTTGTAACGGCGTAGTATGTTTAGGTATACGTATAGGCATGAGTATATGTATATATATATGTGTGTATATATATGTAAATCTAGATGCATATGTATATACGCCAATACATCGCCGTGACGAAATGTTCTTTCATTTTGCCTTTTGGAATGACGCGTTCGTGCTGAGTAGTTCGGAGTGGTTTTGTTAAACCTACTCCCCGCGCACTCGCATCCCGCTCGGTAATTTATATGGCTTGGCGCGGAGTAGTTTCCGATCCCGTTTTGGGGCAACAGAGCTATCAGCGTCCCTGGGATCGGAAACTACTTCGCCGAATGACCCAGCGTCATGTCATGTTAGGAATTTTGAGAGGGATGGGAGAGATCTTCATCATAAAAAATTGAAGAAACTTTTGTCACGGCTGTGTATACGTCTATATGTGTGAGAGAACGCGTTTCACGGGCGCTTGCCTTGGGAACATTCGGCGGTGCGTTTCAAACCGGGGGTGGTTCCCCCCCCCAACAATCGGCGCCGTCGATCAAAACCAAGGGGGACTCCCCTCCCCCCCAACCCCCCCTTCCCGACCCCCCCCTCCCCTCCCAAGGGGGAGATAAGGTGTTACTGTGGCCCGTTGGTTGTTAGTGCGGCCCGGTGGGTGTTAGTATGGCCAGGGTTCTTCCAGAGGGTATTAATCAACGAGTATGTGAAGGGCGGGGGGGGATCTCCAAAGAGCCTCCTCCCACCCCCCTTTCACCGAAGAACCTCTCGGAAAAGCCTCGTGGGCTCTCCGAAGAGCCTTTGGGGCTCTCCGAAGAGCCTCTTCGAGCCGCCGAAGAGCTTGTTGGAGCGGCCGAAGAGCCTCGTGGGCTCTCCGAAGAGCCTCTTGGGCTTTCCGAAGAGCCTTTCGAAACTCCCTCCATGTCGCTTTTCGTTGTAGCCAGGTCTCCGTTTTGAGCTTACGTGTTGGGCCACGTTCCGTGTGGCGTGTTGCGTATCGGGGCAGCTAAGCCTAGAAATCCACGAAAACGTCCCCCAGAGGTCTTCAAGGAGCCCTCCAGAGGCCTCCAAGGAGCCCTCCAGAGCCTCCCATTCCTCCGCACTCCATCGCCCTCCTCGACACTCCTCCGCACTTCGCTTCATTCCTCCCCCCCCCTCTCCGCACTCCTCCCCACTCCTCTGTACCTGTCCACACTTCACCGTGCTCCTCGGCATCCCTCCCCACTCCTCGAAACTTCCTCCATCTTGCTTTTCGGCGTTCCTCCCCACTCCTCTGGAGTCCTCCCCACTCCATGCACTACTCCCTCCGCCTCCCCATTTCATGGCAATCCTCCTGCCTCCTCATTCCTCCCTCGCTGTCCCTCCTCCCTCCTCTCTCCTCTCTCCGTCCCTCCCCATTCCATTGCACTCCTCGGCACTCCTCCGAAGTCCTCCCCACTCCATCGCCTCCGTCCGTCTCCCCATTCCATTGCTTTCCCTTTTGCCCTCTCCATTTCCTCCTTCTCCCTCCTTCCTTCTCCCTCTTTCCCTCCCTACTACTACGACGACGACTCCTACGAGTACGAGTACTAGTATAGCTACCATCTACTACCTATTAGCTACTAGCTACTATTATTAGTGCTACCACTCCTAGTAGTAGTAGTAGTAGTAGTAGTAGTAGTAGTAGTAGTAGTAGTAGTAGTAGCAGTAGTAGTAGTAGTAGTCGTAGTAGTAGTAGTAGTAGTAGTAGTAGTAGTAGTAGTAGTATAGTAATAGTAGTAGTAGTAGTAGTAGTAGTAGTAGTAGTAGTAGTAGTAGTAGTAGTAGTAGTAAAAGTAGTAGTAGTAGTAGTAGTAGTAGTAGTAGTAGTAGTAGTAGTAGTACTAGTACTACTACTACTTTTACTTCTACTTCTGCTATGATCATTATGACTATACTACTACTACTACGACGACTACAACTACTACGCTTAGTACTAGTACTAGGACTACGACGACGACGACTACTACTATTATTACTACTACGACTACTTCTGCTACCACTTCTACGGCTACTACTGCGGCTGGTACTATTACTACTACTACTACTATTACTACTACTATTACTACTACTACTACTACTACTACTACTAGTACTACTACTACTATTATTACTACTACAACTACTACTACTGCTACTACTACTACTACTACTACCACTACCACTACCACGACCACTACTTCTACTACTACTACTACTGCTACTTCTACTGCTACTACTTCTACTGCTACTACTACTACTACTGCTACTTCTACTGCTACTACTGCTACTGCTACTACTACTACTACTACTACTACTACCACTACGACTGCTTCTACTGCGACTACCAGTACGACCACTATTACTACTACTACTACTACTACCACCACTACTACTGCTACTACTACTGCTACTACTACTACTACTTACTACTACTACTACGACTACTACGATTACTACTACTATTACTACTATCACTGCTACTGCTACTTTTACCATTAATAATACTATTACTACTACTTCCACTACTACTGCTTCTGCTTCTCGACTAATAACAACTACTACTACTACTACTACTACTACTACTACTACTACTACTACTACTACTACTACTACTACTACTACTACTACTACTACTACTACTACTACTACTACTACTACTACTACTACTACTACTACTACTACTACTACAACTACAACTACAACTACTACTACTACTACTACTACTACTGCTACTACTACTACTACTACTGCTACTACGTCGCTTCCAGATGGGAGTTACAGTGGCCACTCTTGCCTGCGCGGGAATGCATTCCTTTAAGGGTTGCGAATCGCTTCAGATCTTACATGAGATACTTTCACATATGGCTTTCCATTGAACGGCCAGCGCGGGCCACAGTAACTCCCATCCAGCCGCGCGACGGGCCACACTAACACCCAACGGGCCGCACTAACACCCAACGTGCCGCACTAACAACCGGTCGCCCCAAAGGGGGGGGGGGTGTTCAAACCCCTCCCCCCCCCCGTCGGTGCCGGCGCCGGCGCTGGCGGCCGCCAGCAGCGCCCACGGCGGGGACGCAGCAACGATGACCAAAGGCAGCCCCGGGGGGGGGGAATCCCCCCCCCCCGCCCCCCTCCCAGGGGGGTGTGGGGGGGTCAAACCCTCCCCCCCTTCGGCGCCGGCGATGGCGGCGGCCAGCAGCGCCGGCGCTGGCGCCGGCGACGGCGGGGACGCAGCGACGATTACCAGCAGTTTTTCGTCTGGAGTTTCCGTGCCGGCTCTTGTAGCAGCATTTGCGGTGATGACAACCGCGTCGGAACAAGGTGTTTGCCAGATTTCAACGGATATGGCTCAACTTTTCGACGATTGGTCAAGGTGTGTGCTTTCACCAGCCAGGGCGTTTATGGTAGGTTTTCTGATCGGAATTCTTTCGATGATTGTTTTCGTGTGTTTGTACGCGTCAGTATTTGCAAAGGACAACTGATCCTACATCAGTGTTAGAGGCCAAAACGGATTGTGTTTCGCCGACTGCGATTGTTCCATCCCCGTATGCACCGCGCATTGCAGTGCAGACGACCGACAGACCCCGTCCAATGATAGAGGACGACCGATCGGATGCACGTCGTAGGCTCGAGAGTATGCGAGTATGTGACTTGCAGGCCATGTTTCGCGAGATGCGTTTACCAGCTTCAGGAATCAAGGCAGATTTGTTCATGGGGATTTTCTCTTACTGCGAGGCTAAATCAAACAACAACTGATGCGTTTGGCCCGTTCTGAATGGACAGTGGCGTTTTTTTTTTTTTTTTTTTTTTTGGGGGGGGGGTAACGTGTTGACTGGAAATGTTATACTCTGCGTGAAGATGGGCGTGTGTTTGCCCGTATCTGTGTAGCTAGAAACGCAGTCGATAAGCAGTTGGAGAGAAGAGACAGTATGATAGATGCTGTGGCCATTTCTTTCAATGGTTTCAGGGGATCCCCTTTTGAGCAATCGGCGATAACAAATTATCAGATGTGTTCCAGTCACCGATTGGGGTTTCCCTGATTTCTCGTGCTGTAATTTGATTGGTCGTGCAGACGACCGTTTCTATATTGCTCGGCTTTGCGGAGCTTGCGTGCGCAGAGGACAACAGACTGGTCAATCTCCAACATCATTGACACTTGGGGGCCTCTTGGCGGGGTCGTGGGGGCCTCTTAAGCAAATCTTGGGGAGCTCTGGGCCCGTCTGGCGCCTTCACGGGCCGCCTTGGGGCCCTCTCTGGGCAGTCCTCTAGGGGCGCTTTAAAGCAGTCTTGGGTCCTCTTGGGAGCCTCTTGGGCGATCTCGGGGTCCTCTTGGGCCGACTTGGGGCATCTTGGTGTCTTCGTAGGCTTTCTTGGAGCTATCTTGGAGGCCTTGGTCATCTCGTTTGGCCACAAACCCAAAGTGGCGACAACCTCGACATCTTACAAAAACCCAATCAACACTAAACCACCCCATGCGCGCCAGTCGGGGGCCGTTGCTTGACGCTAGTTCTAGGAGGTCCGTTCGCGGGACACCTGAGTGGCCACGATCTCTTCTTCGAGAAGCTTTTCGGCACCCTTCGGTGTAGTACGCCGCCCAGGGACTTAACCAGCCATGCCGTCGGAGATCTCCCCCCCTCCTTTCTCCGAGATCGCCCCAGACTTCTCCCATCCTCGTCCTGGCGTTCCTTCCCTTTGCCTGGCACTTGCTTCGGAGGGGCTCGATTCAGGCACCGCGTCGTCTGGTCGGCCAAGGAGTCATGGAACTCGCCGAAGGAAATCGGCGCATAGGCGTTCCGGCGCACCATAGGCTTGGCAGCCGAGCGTCTAGACCAAACTCCTGGGCCGGCCAGTCGACTCGGTGTAAACTTCGAGCCGTTCCCGTTGCCCCCCTATTTCAGAATATTCGATCATGGGAGCCTCTTATTGTCAGTTGGCCTGGCTTTCCTGCGCCTCCAGTGGTTCACAGTCGTTTGCTCGCGCCTCTGGAGGCCACTGGGGGCAACGCGAGACCACTGGAGGCCATTGGAGGCCGCGGGGGGGCCGCTGGAGGAGACACAGGAGGCGGCTCTAGGCTTGCGGGGGGCCGCTGGGGTCCACTGGTGGCCACTGGAGGAGTAACTGCGGCCACCCAGGTGATTACAACAGGATCCCAGGAGCGTCTTCTGAACCCTACATGGCTCCCGTCCTCATCTTGGCGCCCCCTAGCCCCTCTCCTCCAGTGACCCAGACCCCCGACGTCAGAATCTCTTCATGACGTCGACCGTCAGAGGCCTCGTCCCATTCCCAGGGACTGGCTTTTCATCCCGGGCCGTTTTGGCACGGCCCCGAGGCCCCGTGAGGTCCCCCAGAGCAAGAGAATAGTGGAAAACCTCCCGGCATGTGTTTTTTTCATGACCCTTGGGCGTTGCGTAATGGAGGGGTCATAAATGGGGGGGTGGCGAGGGTGGTCCGAAAAGGTACCCAAACGGTACCTAAACGAGCCCCCTGGGGCTCCGGAGGGGCCCGAAAGGGGCACGAAAGGGGACCGTTTCTGACCCCCCCATTTGTGACCCCCCCATTAAGCCACGCCCAAGACCCGGGTGGCTCTGGGGAGGGCGAACAGCAGTTTACACAGCGCGCTCGGCGCTGACCGGCGCGACCCCGCATTTGCACCAGCCCCTGCAAGAGGGCCTTGCGTGCTGCAGTGCGCGCCTGCCTCCCCTGTGCAGGGCCTTCGGGCCCTCCCGGGCAGCTTCGTTCGAGCCCCTGCGGGCCCCTCGGCATCGCTCGGACGTGTGCACTCTTCCTCGGCGGGGACCGTCGAGGAGCATCCTCGATCACCGCGCCGGCAAAACCACGCGCGGAACCGAAGAGTGCGTAGAGAACGGACGTCCGAGCGACGGCGAGGCTCCGGCGGCCGCAGGACCCCATCCCGTCGGCCTGCTCGTCCTCCTCGGCCATCTCCAAGTCCTGCAGGAGCGGCCGGGCTTGGCGCGGCGCCGGTCCGTGGCTGGGGGACGAAGGGGGGAGGAGGGGAAGGGAGCGTCTGTGTCGTTCTGTTTGTTCGTTTGCTTGCTTTTGTTTCGGGCTGGCCACAGATGCGAGCTCGCGTGGCTGGGGGACGAAGGGGGGAGGAGGGGAAGGGAGCGTCTGTGTCGTTTTGTTTGTTCGTTTGCTTGCTTTTGTTTCGGGCTGGCCACAGATGCGAGCTCGACTTGTGCTCGCCCCGACGGCCCCAGACGGCTGCCCTAGCAGCCACAGCCATAGACCCCCCTTCGGGGGCGAGGTGTGGTCAGTTCGCCCGCTGCACCGACCGTCGCTCCAGCGAGCCGCAGCTGCCGGGAAGCGGCTCAGGGCAGGAGGAAGGCGGCGAATACCAAGAACACGCAGGCGCAGGCAGGGAGGGAGTGAGGGAGGGAGGGAGGATCAGAAGGAGGCGCGAGGAGGAGGAGGAGGCGAAACAGGGAGGAGGATGCGGCGGGGTAGGAAGATGGGCGGGAGGCGGACGACGACGAAGATTGACGATTGACGAGTGAAGTCGCTGGTGGTGGTGGCGATGATGATGAAGACGACGACAATGACGGTGGCGATGGCGATGGCGATGACGATGACAGCGACAATCTTGATGATGACGATGTTAATGGTGGTGGTGGCGGTGGTTGCGGTGGTGATGTTGATGACGGGGTTGGTGTGCGGTGGCTTTTGAATGGTGCATCATGTCGGGTTGTGAATGGTAGTGAAGGGTGATGTTGATGATCAGGCGGAGCACGAAGATGGTGATGTTGATGAGGAGGAGGAGTGAAAGAATGAGGCGAAGTAGAAGAAGCCAGAGGAAAAATGTGGTGGAGGAAGAGGAGGGCGGATATGTTGCGAACGATTAGGGTAATTAGAGTAGGAGGAAGGGTAAGGCAGATCAGGCGTGAGAAGGAGGATAACGGTGGTGAGAAGGAACATGAAAACGATGGTGATGATGGCTATCATGGCGACAGTGATGGTGACGACGACGACAACCACGACGACGATTGTGATGATGACGATGATGATATTGCTGCTGCTGATGATGATGATGATGATGGCGGTGGCGACGACGACGATGATGATGATGATGCTGATGCTGATGATGATGCTGAGGAGGATGCTGATGCTGAGGAGGATGCTGATTACGATGATGATGCTGTCAGGATGATGAGGATGATGAGGATGATGATGATGATGATGATGATGATGATGATGATGCTGCTTACGATGAGGATGATGGTGATGATGATGATGATGATGACGATACTGATGTCGATGATGATGATGCTGATGCTGATGTCGATGATGATGATCTTGATGATGATGATGATGAGGATGATGATGATGATGCTGATGCTGATGCTGATGATGATGATGATGCTGATGATGATGATGATGATGATGCTGGCGACGCGTGCTGCTGATGATGATGATGAACATCAGGGTGCTGGTGCTGATGATGATGGTGCTGATGCTGATGCTGATACTGCTGACGCTGACGATGACGATGAAGCTGATGATGACGACGGCGACGATGATGATGATGACGATGATGATGATGATGATGATGATGATGATGATGATGATGATGATGATGATGATGCTGATGATGATGATGATGATGATGATGATGATGATGATGATGAGGATGATGATGATGATGATGATGATGGCAGTTGACGGCCCACCCAGCTGGTGTTGTGCTGCGACAGTGCTTTTGGGCCGTTGATTCGGTACGGACGGTCACCCCTTTGGATTGGGATTGTTCATCTGCTTCGCGGTCTTTTTCCCCTTAGCTCGTGGTGCGAACGGCACTAGATATTGCGACGGAACATAGAGATGCCCTTGTGCCGCAGTATTTCGGCACAGGGTTCTGGAGATGATGAACGATGTGGGGCATCTGCTCGGAATTGCTGAAGCGGTCCAGCCGAATCGACGGGCCGCTGGCGAAAGTATTGTTTCAATGCGGACGTCCTTACGCTTCAGCCCTGCAGAGCAGGGCTTGTGGGGATGGCGAGGATGGCGTGGGCTACCTGCTCGGAGTTGCTGAAGCTGGGCCGTGGGTTAAAGCGCGTGTGTGTGTGTGTGTCTTCTGCAGACGTCCTGATGCCGCCGTCCCGGCTGGAGGCCTGGGCATATACTTTATGCCCCGAGGCACCGCACGCACAGCTCCACAGGGGGACCCACAGATCCCGGAGCGATGGTACCAGCGGTGATCGGCTGTTGTGGGAGGAGGAGGAGGAGGAGGAGGCGGAGGAGGAGGAGGGGTGATGAGGAAAACGATGATGCTGCTGCTGATTATGGTGATGCAAGTCATGATGATGATGACGTTCCTGCTGCTGATGATGATGCTAATGATGATGATGCTGTTGATAATGACGACGATCGTGATAGTGTTAATCATGATAATGATGATGCTGCTGCAGATGATTCTGATGATGCGAATGATGAGTAGGAGCAGGAGGAGGAGGAGAAGGCAGAGGATGAGGGTGGCGGTTGTGGTGATTCTCATGATGGTGACGATGGCAACGATGATGATGACGATGATGATGCTGATGATGATGCTGATGATGACAATCATGATGGTAATGATTATGATGACGGTGAAGATGCAGCTGCTGATAATGATGGTGATGATGAAGATAATGTTGATGACGATGTTGATGATGATGATGATGCTAATGCTGATGCTGCTGCTGATGATGATGATGATGATGATGTCGCTGATGAGGAGGAGGGTGGTGATGACGGTGATGACAGAGATAATGATGCTGCTGATGATGATGGTGATGGTGATGATGATGGTCATGATGATGCTGATGATGCTGAGTACGACGATGATGAGGATTATGTTGATGACGATGCTGATACTGCTGCTGCTGCTGATTCTGATGATGGTGATGATTGTGATGGTGATGATGCTGTTGCTGTCGATGAAGATCAGGATGGTGATGCTCATGAGGATGCTGCTGCTGAGTGTAATGATGATGACGATGATGATGATGATGCTGATGACGCCGATGACGATTATGATGCTGAGACTGCTGCTGAAGATGATGATGATGATGATGATGAGACTGATTATGATGTAACTGATGCTGCTGATGATGATGATATCGATGATGATGCTGATGATGACGAGGACTATGATCACAGCGATGCTGATGATACTGATGATGCTGATGATGATGAGTATGGTGATGATGATGACGATGATGATGATGATGATGATGATGATGATGATGATGATGATGCTGATACTGCTGATGATGCTGATGATGCTGATGATGATGGTGGTGGTGATGATGATGTTGTTGATCATGATGATGATGCTGCTGATGATGATTAGGATGCTGATGCTGATGCTGATGATGGTGATTACGATGATGATGAGGAGGAGGTCGAGGACGAGGAGAGGCAGGATGATGACGAGACAAGTTGACTGACGAACCATCGTTCGACGTCTTGGGACCGTGGGGTTCAAGACTGACCACCTCGGAACGGCCATGATCATGTATTGTGTATTTTTGGCGCCTGCCAGCGGCTTCGCTGGGGGACACCTCTGGCTTCAAAAGGACGGTCGTTTCGGGAAGCCTAAACCGCCCTCCAGAAGCACCAGCCCCCAATTCAGCAAATACGGCCGAGTCATGAGGTCGCCATCCTGTTATCTGATCTGATCTGTTGCACTGATCTGAGGCCTAGTCAGCTGTCCACTGATCTGTTACATTCGGAGGACGGGGGGAGGGAGCCAGGAACGGGAAGGGCGAAGGGGACTCAACGGAGGCAAGGAGGAGATCCTTGGTGAGGGCCTGAACCCTTAGCAGCTCGCCCGAGACGGGTTTCAAGGCTTGGCCCGAGCTCCAGCGGGGCACCTGAAACATAGGACACGGGAAAGAAACGTTCTCCCTTTTGCTATTTCAGGATGGAAGCGGCGGTTCTATTCTCAAGGCGGTTCAGGGCGTCATCATTAAGCTGACCTTTCACAGCCATGCCTCTCACCCTCTCATCAGGAGGGGAAACAACACACAGACACAATTAGTCGCCGACCCCCAGGAACATATTGGAAACTATGGGAAGTGGGGGGGAAGACGAAGATCAAGAAAATATGAAAACATATGAGAACATATGGGGGACATTGGTACTTGTGTGTATAAATTGTGAAGGCCTAGCGGCCGATGCCGCCGACCCTGAAAGACATCGACGACGACCATGAGGGGGAGGAGGAGGAGAAGGAGGAGGAGGAGGCGGAGATAAGGAGGAGGAGGAGGAGGAGGAGGAGGGGGAGGAGAAGGAGGAGGACAAGGACTCCCTCCTGGCCCCCCCCCCTCCCCTGGGTGGCCTCGATCACCAGAAAAAAAAATCGAGCACCAAAAGGGTACCGCATCTCGAGGATTTTCACGCGACGGCGTCGGGCCCTGGGAGACACGGTTTCGACACTGTTTCGACACTCTTTCGACACTTTTCTGGGTGCTCGAAATTATTTCTGGGACGTGGTCCTTAAATACGACGGGAGCAACATAACAGTGGGGGGGGGGAATCGGGGGTCATTGAGAAACCACATGCGGAACCCGTACTCCCCTCAACCCGAAATTCGGGTCTTCGGGTTGGGTTTGGGTGGTCTGGTAGATACTCTGAGGGGCGCTGCCAGGCTTCTAGGTTTCTCTTGTAGAAGAGCATGATCTGGCCGAGGGCATCGTGGAGCGTGCAGACTCCAGGGAGCTCGCTGTCGCGAGCGAGTGCAGACGGCCTGCTGCTGGACCGAGACCATGCACTGAAGTCCGTGCTGCTGACGCGCGTCGTGTTTCATCTTGTCTTACAAGCATGAGCGAAGCCCGAGGAGCCTAACATGGTTCTGCAGCAGCATAGGTGCCTCCTCTCGAGGCTTCTTGACCACGGCATTCCAGTACACTGTCAGCACTTGCTTGGTGGCCTCGGGGAGGTAGTACACCAGAGGAATAGGAGGAAGAGGAGGAGGAGGTAGCTTTCCCAGAATCCTAGTCTTTAGAGTGTGACGTTTGCGATCGAATTCTGTGCGCTACCTTCCACTGACGTTGTCGCCGCAGGTCTTGCGACTAGAGAGCCGCACCAGCTGCGCCTCAGTGCTGGTTGTGGAAACTGTCCTTTCATTCTGGGGCATGGGCGTTGCTGCCCCAGAAGGTCCCCGCCCCCCACCCCGCATAAAGGGCTTGACGACTCTTCTGCAATCGACTCGAGGCCATCAAGCCGGACAAACCGAATAACATCTTCCTAAGGCGATGCAGTTGCAGATGACATCGGGGGTGAGGGAAGTCCAGAGGTATCCAAACACTTCTTCAACATATCGTGGCAATCCTGTAGCGCGAGCCGAGGGACAACAGAAATCGTTAAGCCCTTAACGGCCCTTCCCCCCAGGGTCCATTTCGATCTGGTCGGCCCGGTTCGATACTGAATTCAGCTGGTCCGATCCGACGATGTTCCGACATCCCGACGATCCGATGCGTACCGATGTTTGAGCAGAGCTCGCACCCGGTTTGTAATCAAGGAAAGTCTTGAGCGTCAAACTGTGTCGTTGGCCCCTGGTTTACAACAACAACGGCTCCCGCCTGAGATTTCCTCACAATTTAGCCAGGACCCCCCGCTCTCGCCCGAGACTTCCTCGCGTTTTCTTCCGGAATCGCGCTCTCGCTTGGGACTTCCTTAGAATTTATTCTCCCGGCGCTCTGGAGTCGCGCTCTCGCTGGAGACTTGCTTGCAATTTACTCAAGCGCCGCGCTCCCGACACCCAGGCACCCAGGAGTCGCGCTCACGCTTAGGGATACCTCACAGATTACATAGGAGTCGGGATCTCACTGCCCTTCGTGGCCCCGTTGCAGCCCTTCGTGGCCCCCTCGCTGCCCTTCGTGGCCCCGTTGCAGCCCTTCGTGGCCCCTCGCTGCCCTTCGTGGCCCCGTTGCAGACCCTCGTGGCCTCCTCGCTGCCCTTCGTGGCCCCGTTGCAGTCCTTCGTGGCCCCCTCGCTGCCCTTCGTGGCCCCGTCGCAGCTCTTCGTGGCCCCGTTGCAGCCCTTCGTGGCCCCCTCGGTTTGTTTCGTGGCCCCGTTGCAGCCCTTCGTGGCCCCCTCGCTGCCCTTCGTGGCCCCATATATGTATGCCCGTCGTGGCCCCCGCTCGTTCGCGCCCGTGGTGGCCCCACATGCATATGTCCTGCGTGGCCCAGTTGCTACCCTCAGTGGCCCCATCGATGCCTTCTGTGGCCTCGCATTATCTGCCCTTCGTGGCCCCCGCTCGTTCGCGCTCTTCGTGGCCCCAAACGCATTCCCTTCGTTTCCCCGCTGTTGCCCTTCGTGGCCTACTTCGTGTCCTTGTGGCCCTGCTGTCGTTCTCTTTCGCTCTCGCTTCCGCTCGTCGCCGTCATCGTCGACGTCGTCGTCGTCGCCGTCGTCGTCGACGTCGTCGTCGTCGTGGTCGGTCCCCTGTCCGTCCCTCTTGGGGTCGGGTCGACGGTCCGCGGCCGCCCCGCCGATCAGCGCTGCTGCTGGCCAGGCGGACGGTCCGCGGCCGCCCCGCCGCTCGCCGGGTCCCGGCCTGCAGGGAAGAAAAGTGTACCCCCCAAAAGGGGTTCGATCGAAGACGAAGAGGGCGGGTATCGAGGGTTTGGGAAATAGGCGTTATTGGGCACTCGAGCATATAAGGGCGAACAGTCTTAAACTGACTGTTGTTGTTATTGTTGTTGTTGTCGTCGTTGTTGCTGTGTTTGTTGTTGTTATGGTTGTTATTGTTGTTGTTGTTGCTGCTGTTGTTGTTGTTGTTGTTGTTGTTGTTGTTGTTGTTGTTGTTGTTGTTTGTGTTTGTTGTTCTCCCACATATTCGTCTGTAGGAGAACATGCTCGACCTAAACCTTGCGTCGTGTTTTGCTTCGCATCGTGCGGACGTGCGCATCTTTTCGGCAAGGGCCGTCGGTGGCAAGACATGAGTTTTTTCTTCATACTTGTGCGAGTAGACTTAGGTCGGGCGTGTCCTCCTGCAGGCGGACTTTGGAATAACAATGAAGAACAGTCAGAACACATCTTGCGGAGAACTACGCGCGCGAAACCGAAGCATGCACGGGGAACGGATGTCCGAGCGATGGCGAGTTTTTTGAGAAGAGAGTGCCAGGGATCCAGTTCTGAACCTGCAGGCCGCCCCGTCTCCCCCCCCGTGTGCGGCCTTGGGCTGCGCGCACAGACAGCTTTTCCCCCTCAGATAGTCTTAAATCGGGCCTGTCCCTTTACATGGGGAACATCCAAGAATAGTAAAACAATCGCCTGGGGGGGATTTTTCATACCATTCTTGACCATTTTGTTATTCTTATGTTTTAAAATAGTTTTGATTTTTCGTCCAACATCCGCCTGTAGGAGGACATGCCCGACCTAAAGATAGTCCCGTCCGTCCTCAACAGGCCGCCCGAGTACAGCCGTGGCGCTGAAGAAGGAACCCTTTTTCGTTGGGGAGGGGCTCGGTGTTCCTTGATTGTTTTACAGTTTGCTTCAGGGGTCCTGAGGTTCCCCATGGGAAGCCGAAGTTCAACCTGTGGGCAGAAGGGGCCTCGTTCCGTATGCAAGGTTCCTGGGGTCAACGCCCCGACGGTAGACCAGGGCGGCCTCGACACCCCAAGCCTCGGGCGTGCCGCGCCCTGGGGGCGCCGCCGGAGGCGGCGCCGGGGTGCTGAGACCGCCCGGGCCTGCTTGGGGAGCCTGCGGAGGCCAGCCGGGCCTGCCCTGGGGGCTCTCCGCACGCAGCCCTAATTCTGGACGCCCGAAACGTGTACGGAAAGAATGGGTACAATGCCCAACAGCAGTTCCTGTTCATTTTGAACAGGATTCGCTGTCCACGCTGCCGCGGCCTGTGTCCATTCGAGACAGAGGGCCGCCTGCCCAACAGCGGCCGCTGTTGGTTTGGGACAACATTTGTTGTTGGGCATTGTACCCATTCTTTCCGTACCCATTTCGGGCGTCCAAGCTAAGCTTCACCAGTGCCGGCCGGGTCCTGCCCCGCAGGCCGCCCCATGCCCTCCCCTCCTTCTGGGCTTCGGCGGCCGCTGCCGAGGATCCGGTACAGGGCGCGCGGCGCAGATGGCGAGGTCGAGGCCGTCCACGGTCGTCGTCGATGCCGCCGCCGTCGCCGCTGCCGCCGCCGCGCCGTCGCCGTCGCCGCCGCCGTCGCCGTCGTCGCCGTCGCCGTCGCCGTCGCCGTCGTCGTCGTCGCCGTCGTCGTCGTGCGGGAGGGGAAGAGGAGGGGCAGGGAGGAGGGGAAGCCTCAGATCCTGGCGTCTCAATTTTATCGACCCTGGTGTTTGCGCCCGGTTTCGGGCCTCGGGACCCTCACAGATCGATCCGACTCGAGAAATGACGAAGGAATATGGGGTCCAGGGCTCAGGTCGTGATTTTTCACTATGTTTGATTTTTTTCGCGACGGCGGATCTCAGGGAGGAGGGCGGGGATGAGGATGGAGGACGAGGAGGACGAGGAGGAGGAGAGAAAGGAGGAGTAGGAGGAGGAGGAGGAGGAGGAGAGGAGGAGGAGAGGAGGAGAAGAGAGGAGAGGAGGGGAGGAGGAGAGGAGGAGGAGGAGGAGGAAGAGGAGAGGAGGAGAAGGAGGAGGAGGAAGAGGAGGAGGGAGGAGGAGGAGAGAGCAGGGAGGAGGGATGAGGGAGGGGGGGAGGAGGACGACATGGTATGGAGGGGGGGAGGGAGGAGGAGGGAAGGACGGGATGGAGGGACAGGGAGAGGATGAAGACGAGGATCAGACTGAGGATGAGGAGGCAGGGGAGGGTAGGCGCGCAGGAGGAGCGGAGCGAGCCGGAGGCATCGTGGGGCATGCTGGGGATTTCCGGGGCCTCCCCGTGAGCTCGTCGAGCTGTCTTCGGGACGGCCTGTGGGCGTCGTGTGCCGCCGTGGGTGGGGTGTGTGGCGATCTTTCGGCGGCGCGTCCAGGGCAGGAGGCAGACGGGGGTGGGCCTTCTCAGAGAGGCTCGGAGGGCCTCCAGCCCTCTGAGAAGCTGTCTGGCCTTCGCCGACGCCTCAGAGGGCTTCTCAGAAAGCCGCAGGCCCCTCAGAAGCTCAGCCGCCTTCTGAGACGGCCTCTCCCCTCTCACTTCCCCCGAGTTGCGCGCGAATCAAGGGGTGGCGGCCCTAGAAACAAACGAAGCCCTACCAGACAACAGGAACTCGTTCTAACATGCCCCAACGTGCTGAAGGCATGGAGGCGGGCCTAGACGGTAGCTCAGGTAGTACAGGGTAGGTTGACAAGACACGTTTATTGATGACACATGGGAGATTGATGGACAGACAGGTCGTATATTCGGTAACGTTTAACTGATCCCCATCCCTATCCCCATCCCCTTCGAGACCCCCACCAAATTACCCCCCAGTTGGGGATACACCCCTCGAACCCCCAAGGGAATGGCCTGTATCCCAACCTCGGGTGGTAAATCGGCCAGTGGGGCCCAGGCCACGCCGCTGGGGATGGGGATCGGTTAAACGATACTCATATATATATATATATATATATATACATGCGGGTAGACTGAAGGTCACCGCACACCGAAAGCGGTACGCATCCCCTGACTTCGGATGCAATTCCTGGGAGGTCAAATTCTATTTTCGCCCTGGTCCGAAACCTGGCTTAATCCAGCTTGATCCCGCTTACTCCGGCTCAATCCCGCTTGATCCCGCCTAATCCGGCTTAATCCTGCTTGGTCCGAGGCCCCCTCCGGCGTAACAGCTCCCAAAAGGGGCTGAAATCCTCCTTAACCCTTCCGACGAAAGCCTCCCAGTATCGGGGGAGCGTAAGACCCGGGTTTGCCGGGACTCGGGTTCGCCATCGTTTTTTGACGACCGCGACTCGGATTTTGACGAGGAGGAGTTTCGTGGGATGTCTGCAGCGGGAGGCCTCGTCAAAATGCAGGCTCGGCCTCGTCATTTTTTTGACGACCTCGTCGGGGATTTCCGAGTCCCCCGTACCCGGGTCTTACGTCTCCCCGACAGTAGTTGCCTCCTAACCCCGACCTTCTCGTCCCGAGGCGTGGCCCTGCAGGTGCCTCTTTCGGGGGGAGGTCGGCCCTGGCCAGAGAGCCTGCGCCTGCAGTGCAGCTGCTCTGGCGTGAAGGGGGGGGCAGCGGCCCCTGCCTAGGCCTCCACTGCCTCCGCCCCGAGTTCCGACGTCGCGAACATCGTCCTCCTCCCCCCCTTCCTCATCCTCCCTGCTCCCTCCTCCCTGCTCCTCCTCCTCCTCCTCCTCCTTCTCCTCCTCCTCCTCCTCCTCATTCTTCCTCCTCCGCCTTCCCCCTTCCTCATCCTCCTTGCTCCCTGCTCCTCCTCCTCCTCCTCCTCCTCATTCTTCCTCCTCCTCCTTCCCCGTTCCTCATCCTCCTTGCTCCCTGCTCCTCCTCCTCCTCCTCCTCGTCCTCCATCCTCATCCCCTCCCCTCCTCCCTGAGATCCGACGTCGCGGAAAAACTAAACACAGTGAAAAATCACGACTGGAGCCCTAGACTCCATCTTACTGCGCCATTTCTCGAGCCGGATCGATCTGTGAGGGTCCCGAGGCCCGAAACTGGGCGAAATGCGCAGGTCTGAAACATTGAGACGCCAGGATCTCAGGGCGCGCGATCGCCATCGCCGCGGCGGAAAAGAGTGCGAAGGAGGGGATGGGGCCCTGCCGCCGCTATCTGGTCCACCCGCACAGGAGAGAACCGCACGCCCGTAAACATGTGCGAATCATCGCAGGATGGCCGCTCCACGTGGCTGGACGCCTCGATCCCACTCGGGGGCACGGCGTTTGAGGTAGCCTCCCAGGCATGCTCGCGTCGTGACAAAATCACGGTGGACGTTTTTTTTGGTTTCTTAGAGCTGCTTTTCGAATGCTCTCGGCTTCCAGGGGCCCCCGCCCGGCCCCCGGACCGTCAAAACTGCTCGAGGTGAGCCGCCGGGGGGTGGGGAGAGCGTCGGTTCGATGTCTGTTCATGGGAGCCTTGGGCGGCGACATTGAAAACAGCTCTTCCTGCATGTGGACAGCGTGGGGGCCACATTTGGCCCGTCCTCCTGCTCCTCCTCTCCCCTCCTGTTCCCCCTCCCCCTCCTCGTTCTCCTAGCCCCCACGAATCCAGTCCACGTCTGGTCCAAATCCGCTCCAAATGTGTTCCGAATCCGGTCCAAATCAGGTCCAAATTGGACAGTGCCGGGGGCCACGCAGGCTCCCACGGAACGGACACCAAACGTCGGGACGCCTCGGGGACTTGCGTATGGAGAAGCAGTCGAGACATCGCATGGCTGGCCTGGTGGCTTCGCGACTGCGCTGCCGAGCTTGCCGTCACGGTGGCTGTGTCCGCTCCAACTCCTCCCTCGAGGCAGCAGGAGGAGTCGTGCCCGCTCCCCCTTCCCAGGCCGACGTCCAGGAGCTGACGAGCGAGATACGGCGCGCGGCTCTCTTGTCGGATGCCTGTTTTTTTTCTTTGCCGGATCAGGCCCCGGCCTACGATCAACACTGTCTAACCGATCCTCATCCTCTTTGGCTTGGTTGTTGCCCGATTCGACCTGGGTCTGAGATCAGTCCCGTCTAAGTGATCCCCGTCCTCACTGGGCCATGGTCTCTCATTCCCACCAGCCCGCCCCCCAGGTGGGGACACGCCTCGCGAAACCTGAAGGAACAGGCGCATGTCCCAATCTGGGTGGGCAAGTCGTCCAGTGGAGCCAAGGCCTCGGAGGTTGATAGACCTCCTGCCCTGACACGCCGATGAGCGAATTGGCCGTCTTCGGTCCGCGAGAGGGCGTCGTGGCCGTTCGTAATGAAGGGAGGGGGGTCTCATTTCGGGGGGGGGGGGGGTCTCTTCCAGGCAATCTTGGAGGGCCTGGGGGGTCTGGGGACGATGTTTTGGAGGGTTCTCCCACGGGGGAGGTCTGAAATGGCTTGTCTTGGAGGGTCCAGACCCCCTCCCTCTGATTGCGAAATCTGGGGCACTGTCCACCGCCGAGCTTACGAGGGTGTGATACGGGCTCTCTGGCACGGCTGCTCCAGACTCAGGAGGGAAAGAAACACACAGACACAATTAATTTTCGATTTCCTGGAAAATGTGGGAAAACATGGGAAGTGGTGGGGAAGACAAAAACCCAGGAAATATGGGAAACTAGGGGGAATCTTTCTATCTGTGTGTATTTCTTTGTGTGTCCCAGGGCCCCTTCACAGGCGTGTGCCCCTGGCAGGCTGGCGAGCCCCTCCTCGCCCCCGCCTGCCGTCGTCTCCGAGGGGGCGGCCTGGGCCGCCAGACCTGGGAAGTCCAGGGGGAGCGGCTTCGCCAGGGGGAGGGTCCTCGTCGGGGGAGTGGTCGAAGGATTGCAATGAAGGATTGCAAAAAAACGAAGGATTGCAGAAAAACCTTCGTTGAAGGTTTTTTTCCAATCCTTCGTTTTTTTGCAATCCTTCGTTTTTTTGCAATCCTTCGGGAAGGGGTCGGGGCAAGGGCTTCGTCAGGGGGAATGGTCGGGGGAAGGTCACGCGACCTGCTCGCACGACGGATGCTCTCATCCGACCGAGCAGCGCCGTCCCGCTGCGGCGCCATCCGGCTGCGCCGCACGAGGCGGCGGCGTGCTGCAGGCGACGGGCTCGGGCAGGCGGTCCTCACCGACCCCACAGAGGGCACGCCCGCTGAGAGCTCGGCCTGCCGGCAGGTGCCCAGCAGAGGTTTTTGTCTCCCAGTGGCACCAGGGACCTGCGAGAAGTTCTGGGGCAGCGCGGGAGCCCTCGAACATCAACAGGGAGTGTGCCCCGAGGCTCCTTACACCAAGGCTTGTCATCGCAAGTGAATGTTGTAGCACCAGAGTCTGGACATGCAGCCTACGCAGGCCGGCTCCAGCCGTCCCTCCAGCGCTTTTACAGACGGTGCATCATGGCCGCATCCTTCTGTTGTGATCGCTTGCGTGGGCCCAGCGAGCGCAAGATCAGTCACTGATGGGCTGGTGTGCCTTGCCTCCCCCGTTGTATTTGTTGTCCGCTGCTTCGTCTTTTGCCCCAACCTTAAGTCGGGCCTGTCCCTCTACAGGAGGGATATCCCAAAAGAGTCAACAACATACTATGGGGACGAGTTTTTGATTATCTTTAGAGCATTTTGGCTGCATTTTGCGAATATTGCGAAGGCCTTACGGCCGGTGCCGCCGACCCTGGAGGACGTGCAGTACTTGCGGGGGGGGCGTCGTATCTGAGTGGCGCCCCCCCCCGGGACCCCCCCCGGGGACCCCCCCGCTACCCCCCCCCCCCTCCCGGCGGGGGAGGGATCAAAGGGAAGGGGCTTCCCTTCGACTCAAATACGACGTTGCTGAAGTTCATTTGGGCTGGCGCGCTTGAGCAGGGGCCCCTGCTGGGAAAGAGGACGGGAGTGGCGACGGGCCCACGGAAAGGGAGGCGCAAGGAAGGGGGACGACAGAGACGACGACCAACGAACAACGGGGATGACGTCTCGAACGGAAAAGCCCCTCACACACGCCGACAGGGTCGGCGGATTTCGAATTTTTCGCCCACAATCCCCCTGTAGGGGGACAGGCCCGGCCTAATCCTAACCAAGGTCGGCCGGACGGGTTTGGCTGGGACGGTTGGCCAGACTTCTGGGGGTTGGCCAGGAGGGCTGGCCAGTGCCGTCGTTGCAGAGGAGCTTTGCGCCAAGTCGATGCGAAATTTTCCATTGGACGCATCCGTGTCTTACCCGACGTTCCTCCTCGTCCTCGTCGTTGTCATCACCCTCAGGCTCTTACTCGCTTTTTCTCCCCTCGTCATTTTCTAATCAGGCATTGGAAGTGTATACGAAGTTTTTCCACTGGAAGCGTTGTGCCGAATCTCCGTCCTGATTCTCCTCGAAGTCCCAGGCACTTACATTATCCTCCTTTTTGTCCTCCTTTGGCGGCTTCCTATCTTGTCGTCGTTGTCCTCCTGTGTATCCTCCTCATTCTCCTGAGGCTTCTTCTTCCTAGTCATAATTCGCGCCACATTTCCTCCCTCACTCTCTGTGCATCTGCGGGGCCTGGGGCGTGTGCGTGGCAGTTCGAGGCTCTCGCGGTGCGCGGTTATATCGACGACGCCCCACGTGATGGGTCATACCCTGCTGCGCAGGCTTCACGTTCCACACAGGCTGCACAGTCAATGAGTTGGGGTCCGGTGTTTGGCACCATGCCTTGTCTGAGCCACGCTGGCCTCAAGCTGACCAGCCTCCAGACGACCGCGAGTGGAGTCTACTGATGTCGCCGTGCCTCCTAGAGCCCCTGGGACTCCTAGAGGCCGCTGGGTTCCCCGCAGCGCTCCAAACGCTACGAACCTGCACCCCTCAACTGGGGAAGGTAAAAAAAAAAACTGACCAGCCTCCAGCATCCAGGGCCCGAGCCTCCGCGCAGCGGCCGACAAAAACGTTCACCCTCTCTTGGTTTCCCTCCCCCTCCCCCTTCTCCTTTTGCCCCCTCGGTGCCCCCGCCTTCGTCGTCCTCGAGCGGCGTCCTGGGCGCCGAGCCAGGGAGATCCGAGGACAGGGGGTCGTGGAGGTATGCGGTCTGTTGGGCCCTGTCCCGCTCTTCTTTGCTTGCTTCTTCTTTCTGTTCTGTTCGTGTGTGTGTGTGTGTGTGAATGTGAAGAGAGTGTGCGTGTGTGTGTGTGTGTGTGTGTGTGTGTGTGCGTGTTTGTGTGTGTGTGTGTGTGTGCGTGTGTGTGTGTGTGTGTGCGTGTGCGTGTGCGTGTGCGTGTGGTGTTGTGTGTGGAGGTATTTTCCTCCCCTCCCAAACAAATCGCAGTGGACGTTCAATTGTTCTTTTTTGGGGGGTGGCGGAGGGGGGGGAAGGAAACATCCCGTCCACACACAAACACACACGCACACGCTACCACCTCCCCCCACTCCTCCCAACTTCTGGGGGGCTCCCCCGCCAAAAAGAACAAGTAGCAGGCCGCGGCGGGGTTACCTTTTAGAGTTTCGTTGTTTTGTTCTCTCTGGTGTGTGTGTGGGTGGGGGAAGGAAACACCCAGACCACGCACGCACACATTCACGCACACAACACACACACACTCACACACCACACACACACACACCACACACACGAACACACAATCACACACACCACACACAAACACACACATACATTGACACATTCACGCATTCACGCATTCGCATGCACATTCACACACACACACGCACACGCACACTCACACGCACACGCTCACGCATACACGCACACGCACGCGCACGCGCACACGCAGCCGCACACGCAGCCGCACACGCAGCCGCACACGCACACGCAGACGCACGCGCACACGCGCACACACGCACATGCGCATACACGGACATACGCACACACGCACACACGTACACACGCTCACACACATACGCATACACGCACGCACGCACACACGCACACGCACACACGCTCACACGCACACACGCACATGCGCACAAACACACACACACACATACACGGGTTTACGCACACACGTACACGCGCACACACGCACACACGCACACACGCTCACACGCACACGCGCGCACGCGCACACGCGCACACACGCACACACGCACCCACGCACACGCACACACGTACACACGCGCACAGGCACACGCACACACGCACACACGCACACACGCACACACACGCACACACGCACACACCACCTCCTCCTCTCCTTCCTCCTCCCTGCTCCCTCTACCACCCCCCTCCCTCTACCATCCCTCCCTCTTCGTCCTCCCCCCTTCTTTTTCCATCCTCGCTCTAAAACCCCCCTTGCCCTCCCTATTCCAGGGTGCTCGAGTTGTTGCCGCAGGGGTCCTTTCTGATGGGGTTAGTATGCAAGACGTCCCCATCACGGATTCCTCATTCAATGTGCCCCTACCCAGGACTCCTTGCCAAAGGCATCTTTGCTGACGGATGCGTGCCCAACCGGTCCTCGTTAACGGCTCCCCACTAAACAAAATGTCCCCCCCGCCTAGGTTCGTTTGTGCCAGGCATCCTTGTGAATGAATGCTGAGTAAACCAGTCTGCACCGACGGCCACGCACTGAACGGAATACGCCTTAACAGGACTTAGCAGGGCGTACCAGGGCTGAGCAGAGCGTGGCAAGGCTTACCAGGAATATGTGCTCACCAGGGCATGTGAGGGCTTCACAAGGCTTAACAGAGCTTCGCAGGGCTTGGCAACACTTGCCAGGATTCAGCCGAGCGCATTCGGACTTTGCAAGGATTTGCCGAGTCAGCCAGGATTTAGCAGTGGCTAGCGGCTAGCAGTGTTCAGCAGGGTGCGGTCGGACTTAGCAAGGCTTTCCAGAACTTGCCGTGCCTGAGCAGTGCTTAGCAGGCTCAGTCGGGCAAAACAAGGATTGCCAAGGCCTGCAGGGCTTACGAAGGCTTAGCACGGCTTACTAGATCCCAGCAAGGCGTCGCAGGGCTTACCAGCGCT